GGGCCGAGGCCCAGCGAGAACCGGCCGAGGATCCGGCCTCCGCGCGCCCACCGGTGCCGCCGCGCCGGCCGTTCCCGGGGCTACTTGTCGGCGTCCGCCGGGGCCCCGCCCCCGCCAGCCCTGGCGTCGCTATTGGTCAGGGGGACCCCCCCCGTCCCCACGGGGCCCAATCCGGGCTCGCCACGAGAAGCGACCAATAGGAAGGCCCCGGGTCAGCGACCTGCCGCGAGGGGGTGGGGCCGGGGGCGTGGCGATCCGAGCACATCTCTCGTGCGCGCTGCCCACGGCGGCCATCTTTAGTCTGGGCAGCGGGGCGCCGGCCGCGGTGGTTGGGTTTGGTGGCCAAGTTAGGTTCGGGCAAGGGCTCCGCCTCCGTTCTCGGCTTCCGCTGCCCTGCTTCCGGCCGAGGGCACCCAGCCGGCCGCGCTCCGAGGAACGGCGTCGCGGGCGGGGAGGTCAGCGCGCGCAGCCGAGTCCGGGGTCTCGGGGCGGGCGGCGGGAGGATGGCGAGCCCGGCTTGCGGGGCGGGCAGCGGGGACGCGGAGCCAGCGCTGCTGCAGCGCTCCTCTGCCCTCGCCGAGCGTGTCCACGCGGGTCGGCCTTCGGGCGGCTCACCTGGGGGCCGCGCTCCTCACCTGGCGGCCGGGCTGCTTCCCTGGCGGCCGCGCTCCTCACCGGGGGGCTGATCAGTGTCTGTGGGGCCCGGGAATCTACATTTGCCCCCGTGCCCGAGGCCATGGGCAGGGAGCCGGGGTTGCACGAGGAGAACTAAGAGGAGCATCGTCTAGAGTGTAGGAGGACGTAACTGCCAAAGGAGGAAATACAACGACGCCAGGTTTTCTCTGGCCTTTAGCCGCCCAGTTTGCACCAGATCATTTGTTTCCAGCCAAGGCATTAATAATTTGGACGTCTGATTTGACCAGTTTCATAGAGACCGTAGACTCTAAGTTGATGGGGACAAGGGGCCTTTGTAGGTTGTTCCTGATCTGAGATGCCACCATTCTATAAACTGTGTTTTTTCAGTCATGGCCTGTTTGGTACCTCAGACTAACAACCCCAGCAGCTGCAAGCAGGGATGGCCGGGTGCAGAGAAAAGCCCACGCGCCCTCTGGAGCCCCGTGGTGGGGTGACCGTGGTTTCTGTTCTTGCTTATGTCCTGTGGTCTTCCCGCCGTCCTGGGGGAGCATTCTGCTTGCACCCGCTGGGGCCCCTGCCTTCCAGGATAAGCTGCTCTGCCAGTCGGTCTCTGCCCTTGTCATCAGCAGCGAGGACACCCTTATCTGAGTGAGAAGCCCCTGGGGCCCGGAGGGGGGTCTGCGTCCTGCAGATACGTTTTCACCCCACGGCTTGTGAGATAAGAGTGGATTTTTCTGCAGGGGAACTCCTGGGCAGAGGTGTAGAGTGGGGTCTGTGGGGACAGGCCTGTTCTTAGCTGACCAGGGACAGCTGTGAGCCCGTGTCGGGTTCCTGCCAAGCAGCTCTTGTGCAGCTGCTTCAGCAGCCTGGCTGCGTACATGCTTCCTATTTGTTTAAACTCTTATTTTTTTCTCATGTTAGTAAGGGGAACAGAGAGTAGTGCATGAACGTTCTGTGGTCTCTTCGGCTTTACTGGAAACTACAGCGTTAACGTGTTTTGAATGAAAAGGTAAGCTAGTGTGAGAGCCATGCTGGAGCTTTTACCCACTTTTTTCTTCAGCTGGTTTGCTGAGCACCTACTGTGCGCCAGGCTCTGCAGAGGCAGCTGCGGGTGGGGAGCGGGCCTGCCCTCAGGGTGGGAGCCCAGCCCGGGAGACAGGCAAATGCGTCTTTCCTTCAGCATGCTTGAGTGCCTCCTGTGATGACCAGAGTCCATCCTCTTGCTGAGGTTACAATGGTGGGGAAAACACAGACAGACAAATGGAAAACTCCTGCCCTCAAGGAGCTTACATTTTAGAAGGAAGAAGACAAACTAGAAGCACCTGTCTCCATCCAGTGGTTTTTATATTTGGGAAGGGAAAAAGTTAGGTAACTTCTAAGGGGAACTGCATATTATTTTGGTAATTCTTAATTTTAAAAGCCGTTTCCTCCAACTCCCCCTGACCACCATCTGGACAGAAGACCTGCTCCTTCTGACCCACAGATTCTCCTCCACTTGTTGACTCCCCCCTTGCGTCTTTGGAGAGGACAGACTTCTTAAACCTCCCTCTAATCAGAAAGTGGTTTTAATAAGCAGTAAGCACCGTGCCTCTCTCGTTTTGCTTCTGGCCCTGCTGGTTTTGATCAAATGAAGTCAAACCTGTCTTAAGAGAAGCCAGAAACATGAAGAAGAATCTGCCATCTTACCTCCACCTCCAAACTGAAAGATCTAGTCATTCGTGAGTAGGAACTGGACTGGACACTCTTGTGGTTTTCTCAGGAAGCTTCGTGCCATAGGTCCCCCCAAATCGTCCTGTTGGTGTTTGGGAGATGCATTGCAGGCACATGTATCTGAACCCCTCAAGGACACACTCGTGCTTGTTGCCACCCATGTATTCGTGTTCATGACCAGTGTGGTGCCACCCTGGGGCTCTGCGTGGCTCCTGGGGTGAAGTTCAGAATGCAGCAGGGTGGGTGTTCGCAGCCCCGCGTCGCTGTCCCTGGGGCACAGGGGCTTTGCTGGCTGCCCTGAGCCCTGCGTCCTGCTCTCCCGTGGCTGCCCCTCTGTCATCCTCCAGGTGCGCCCCTTCCACCCTCCCACCTCTCAGCCTCTGGTCCCGTCTCTTGGCTGGTACCATAGGGGCTGAGCCCAGGTTTTACCCAACTCGCCTGCCAGATTTGAGCTTCTGTGGCGCGGGAGCCGCCCTACTGCCCTCCAGAGACCAGGCCAGCCCAGGCCCTGGCTGCACGGACTAAACTCAGGGTTCTGCAACTCAGGTCTTTCTTCCTGGAGGAATATTCACACATATATACACAACAAAGTGTCAGATAGCTGGTTGAAATACGAAAGCTTCTCGAGCATGATTTTCCTCCAGACTTTCTACTTTGATGTGTTTTCACATTTACAAAGTTATGACAGTAGTGCGGAGAGCTGCCGCTTACCCTTCACCCACATCTCCCAGACGCTAACGCAAGTGTGATTTTTGAAACTTGGGGTCTACATTTTCATCCTTTCAGAATGCTTACAGAGTGGCGACGCTGATGGTCGATGAGGGCACGTAAAGTTGAGGTGCAGGATGACCGGGAAGAGGCCGTCGGGCCCTGGCAGGCAGCGCCAGCTGCTGGGCCTGCTGGTTGCTGTTGCCGCTGTCCACCTCATCGCCTGCCCCTATGCCAAAGTGGAGGAGAGCTTCAGCCTGCAGGCCATGCACGACCTGCTCTACCACAGGCTGGACGTGGAGAAGGTGAGGACCCGTGCCTGGGACTGAGCGTTGTCCCCGGCTCCTGGGCCCCCTCTGACTGGCCTCCTCTTCTCCCTGCAGTATGACCATCTTGAGTTCCCCGGCGTGGTCCCCAGGACGTTCCTCGGGCCGGTGCTGATCGCGGTGCTGTCCAGCCCTGCCGTTTGTGTGCTCTCGCTGTTAGAAATGTCCAAGTCTTACGCTCAGCTAGTAGGTAAGGGGATCTTCCTCTGAGGACAAAACGAAGGACCATAGTGTAATTGGTGAGCTCAGTCAGCGAGGCTGAGCTACCTCATTCAGGAGCGTCCGTCTGTCGGCGTCTCGGCTGTCCCTGGCCGCTCAGCCTGACGGTTCAGAGCTCGAGTCGAGGTCAGGCTTCAGCCCTTTCTGGGCTGTGACCTGGGACAGGTAGCTGAGCGCCTCTTGCTTCTGCTCTCTCGATGGTGCCTTCCTCCCCAGGCTGCACAGGAGGAAATGAGGTGGGAGTGAGGTGCCTCCCATGGGGCCCGCGCCTGGGCTGCAGGGGAGCCACCAGCCCCGCCTGGCGGGCCCATGCTCTGAGCAGCCCTTTACTACTACAGAGCCGCACACCTGCGTCGGAGGCCACAGATTCCCACTACCCAGGGGTCACCACTGATAGGCCTTTGTGCTTGGCCTTCTGGACCTTTTTCCGTGCCCATACGAATATTTTTTTAAAACACGTTTAGAACATTCTGTACATATTGCTCTGCGACCTCATTTTTCAGGCAACAGTTACCATCTTGCCATTTCAATAAATGTTTATTGCATCTCTACGTAGACTGTATTCTGATTACCCAAACTGACTGAAACACATTCTCACAGCTCGTGGATCTGGCCTGTGTGGAAGCTTTAAGAAAGTACAGATTCTGGGGAAGAAGCAGTTCTGCTGCTTGAAAGGGGAGATTAGGAAATGGAAATTCACCATCGCACGGGGTAGCTAGACAGGCTGTGCTGGTTGTGTGGGGGCATCAGGGAGCCCCGGACAAGAGACTGGGCCACGTCTGGCCATCAGGCCCTCAGTAAATGTGGCCCCAGAGGTGTCACAGCTGTGTGATGGGGCCTCTGGTGTTAGTGCAGGACTCGTCACACTGTCGTACGGACACTGCCCTTACCGGTGGCCATGTCCCCCAGAGCCCGTGGTCACAGTGAGGCTTTAGGGTCAGGGTGCCAGGATCCAGGCTGTCCATTCCCCATGCCCAGTCCATTTTTACTACCAAAGACAACTCCCTATCTCAGGGCTGTTCTTCTATCACCTGGTCATTCACTGACCGCTGCACATAACCATTTCGAAGACCCACTTTGCCCGGCACCTGTCGCACTGCTGGTCACACACGTGTTGCTGTCTTGTTTAGTCAGAGCTGTCCTCGGACTCAGCGTGATTTTTGGACTCTGGACTTTACAAAAGGAAGTGAGACGGCAGTTTGGGACCACGGTGGCTGCCATGTTCTGCTGGGTGACAGCCTCGCAGTTCCACCTGATGTTCTACTGCACACGGACGCTCCCCAACGTGCTGGCCCTGCCCGTGGGTACGTAGCTGCCGGGCTGTGTCGTCAGACCCCACGATGGCCCCTCAGGCCTCTTGCTGGATTCAGGGCACGCCCGCCAGGGGACAGGTGAGTGGGTGTCCATCCGAGGTGTGCCTGCCCGACGAAAGCTGCTCCCCACTGGGTGTCTCAGAAGCGCTCTGCGACAGGATAGCCTGTGACGGACAGCAGGGTCTCTGTTCTCAGTGCTGTGTGGAGGTGTACTCTCCAGCAAATGGCCCGGGGATGCAAGTCTTGTGCAGGACCTGAGGTGACTGGGCCGAGAGGGAGTGGACCTGGTCTGAGCACAGCAAGTGCTGGGAGGAGAGAAAGCCTCATGTGGTTCAGATGGGGGAACTGTTCTGGTGTTCAGGGGGTGCCCCAGGCAGACGGAGAGCCGCCGCACTCTGGGAGCCACAGGGAGGCTGAGTGTGGGTAGGAGGGGAGGCTGTGGGTGGCGTGGGCATGGGGGTCTGTGCCAGCCAGGGCAGAGGTGTGGCCTGGCCCTCACCACGCCCAGGGGGGCGACCTCTGCAGGACATGGCAGGGGAGATGACGAGCAGGGTGCCGTTCTGAATGAACCCTGAGTGGAACCAGCAGGATGTGCTGAGTGCCTGGGACCAAACGGCAGGAGAGGAGTGGAGGGTGGCCAGGGTTGGCGCTAGACTTGCAGAGCCTGAGGTTCTGGAGAAGATATGAAGCAAGTTGCTGGACTCGGGTGTCTGGGGTCTGGCATGGTCAGGCCTACCGGAAGTGGCCCTGAGCTGTGTGGCGGTGCAAGACGCGGGGCCCGTGGCCAGGGGCAGGCCGTCCACAGATGGAGCCTGGGCCCTGTGTTGGGGGATCTGGTTCTGAGTGCTGTTTGCTATCTTCTGGAGTGTGTGGCTTTCGTAACGAGAAAGTGAATTGGCATCTCGTGCCTCTGTGTCTTGCAGTCCTGCTGGCGCTCACGGCCTGGCTGCAGCAGAAGTGGGCTCGCTTCATCCGGCTCTCGGCGTTTGCCATCCTCGTCTTCAGAGCCGAGCTGAGCCTGTTCTTGGGCCTCGTGCTGCTGCTGCTGCTGGGCACCAGGAGGGTCTCAGTGGCGAAGGCCCTGCGCTGCGCCATCCCGGCCGGGATTCTCTGCCTGGGTGAGTCGGGGTCGCCGGGGGCTCTTCTGGCTGGAGGCTGTGCTTTGTCTTGTTTTACTAAGATGAAGAGAAATTTGGGAGTTTTCTTCGTTTTTTCTTTTTCATTAAATAAAATTACCTTAACTTTCAGCAGTAGTAAAACATCTTAATGTGGTTCTCCTTGCTGTTCTGCCCGAGCGTCCCCCATGAGGCCTCCCCCTGCTGCCCGGGGCCTCCGTCGGCCAGCCCCTGTGCCCAGCGCACGAGGGAATTGGCGTGAAGATGCTCACTCGGGGCGGAGGCCCCGATGCGTCAGCTCCCTCCCGTGAAGCTGCTCTGGCTCGTGGCTTCTGTGCCAACGGGGCTGCTTCGTGGGGATGTTTACCTGGGACCCGGGACTCTGGGGCTGCTGTTCACCCGGCAGCGTCGACGTCTGAGCTGTTCTGGTGGCTGTGTGCTCTCCTGAGGAGCTCTGTTTTATCTTACCAGGACTGACGGTCGCCGTGGACTCCTATTTTTGGCGCTATCTCGTGTGGCCAGAAGGAAAAGTGCTTTGGTACAACACCATCCTGAACAGAAGTTCCAACTGGGGAGTATCCTTCAGGAGTCTCCGTGAGGCGGCCCGCGGGGCAGGACAGCTGGCGCCCCTGGCCTCGCCTCGCTCGGGCGAGACTGCAGGGGCTGCTTTCCTCCTGCTGTCGCACCTGACGGGGGGAGCACACCTGGTGGCCCAAGCTCGGGGTGGGCTGCTGCAGCTGCTGTGGTGCTGGGCGGGGCAGGTTTCCCCAGGCCCCAGCTTCTGCCTCCTGTGGAAACACCACCTTGCTTTTGTGGCCCCAACTTCTCCTTCAGTCCTCAGGATAGTCTGCCTGTGTAAACGTTTTATTGTGGAATATTTAAACACACACAAATAGAAAGAATAGCATGATGAGTCCCCAGTGCACCCTTCACCCAGGACAACCCCTTATACAGTGAAAAAAGGAGGGAAAGGGGAAAGCACGATGCAGGCCTGCTTGCCATCCGCTGGCTGCAGTGCTGGCGCCGATGCCCGAGTCCTGGCCTCTGTCCGTGTGTGGAGGGCGTCACCGTGGGGATGAGGCTGCAGGCAGGGGCATCGCAGGGCTGTCTCATTGCCTGAGCTCAGCTGAGTGGACGGCTGACTGTCACTGACGCGTGGCCTCCTTAACCCTGCCTCCAGACCTCCCCCCTCCTGTGGTACTTCTACTCGGCGCTGCCCCGTGGCCTGGGCTGCAGCCTGCTCTTCGTGCCCCTGGGCCTTGTGGACAGAAGGGCCCTGGTGCTGCTTCTGCCATCGCTGGGCTTCGTGGCTCTGTACTCGCTCCTCCCGCACAAGGAGCTGCGGTTCATCATCTATACCTTCCCCGTGCTCAATGTCGTGGCTGCCAGGGGCTGCGCCTGCGTGTGAGTGCTCCCCTGTGGGTGCTCCTTACGGATTCATAGAGGGGAGGATGTTGAGAGTAAACAGACGTGTCTACTTGGGCGCCCGTGTCAGAAGTGGCCAGCCCAGCCGTGGAGATGAGACGGCCGCTGGGCTGAGGCCAGGAGGGGACTGGCCACATGCCAACCGATGGTTCTGCTTGGTCTGTCTCCATCTTCAGTTAATCTAGACGGGTGTCTCGGGCCTGTCTGCACAGGGCTGTGCTAGCCATCCAGGGCTCGGTCACTGAGGGGAAGGACCCTTACGAGAGCCAAGGGGCAGGGTGGGGAGGCTCTGAGGTGAACAGTCAGGTGAAGGAGAGGAGCTCCCCATGTGGAGGCTGAGGCTCAGGGGCACGAGGGCGGGTGGTGTGGGGGTTACCGAGGCAGGGAGACCGGCCAGCAGCAGAATGAAGGGGCATGGGCAGCCCCTGAGGAGGGGGCCCCTGGGCTGTGGGGGGGTGGTCCGAGCGGCGCTGCTGCTCACCAGGGAGCAGAGCTCTGGGGCTGAGGCAGCACTTTTGTCACTGCCTGTGGTGGGAACAGGAGGCCGATGGCAGCCCCTTGGCTGGGCTGGGGGCGCGAGGGCCACAGCTGGGAGAGGCAGCCCCTGCGGACGGCCCTGTGAGCCCAGGAAGGGGGCAGGTCACCCCTTCATGTTCCTCTTTCCGAGGGACTCCTGTTAAGGGTGGGAGGCGGCTTGTCCCCATGCCGCCCCAGGACCTGGGTGAAGGTGCTCACAGCTCGTCCCCAGCTCACGGCTGCTGTGTTCTCGCCTGGGGATCCATGGGCTGCAGACCCCGATCCAAGGCAGCAGGCAGACTGACCTCGGGGTCCTGAGAGAGAGAAGGACCTTGTTCGTGGAAACTACGGGCCCTCGTGAGAGCAACAAGGACAGATTTTATCCAGTGATAAACTGTTGAGTGGAAGCAGGTCCTGCGTGAGCTGCACTCAACTTCCCTGGAACCCGAGTCAGGAGACCCCAGAGGCCGGGTATGCTTGGGGGTGGGGAGGAGGTGGTGTGATGGCCTCCTGGGCCTGCCCATTGCCCCCGCCCCGGAGAAGCAGACAGATTGGTGTCTTTAGGGCAGGAAGCAGGGGTGCACAGGGGCCCTTAGCTCCCGCAGGTGGGCACTGGGAGCAGAGTTCCTCCCTAAGTGTTGGCCTTTCAGAGAGATGGCTCCCGGGTCCTTGAGGAAACGCATTTGGGTGGTAGATTTGCATCTTAAAGGGCAGAGAAAGGATTATAATTGCGAGCTTTCTAAGGTCACTGCTCTTGAGGGGTCCAGGGCCACCTGCCCATCCCCAGGTTTTGGTGGGAACGTGTGGTCAATTCTCCTGGCAGTCTGGAGCTTTCTCCGGCAGGCACTTAGGGGCTGCGGCCACGCTAGGGGTGCGGCTTTGAAAAGATGCTGGAGGGGCCGGCCCCGTGGCTTAGTGGTTAAGTGCGCGCGCTCCACTACTGGCGGCCCGGGTTCGGATCCCGGGTGCGCACCTACACACCGCTTCTCCGGCCATGCTGAGGCCGCATCCCACATACAGCAACTAAAAGGATGTGCAGCTATGACATACAACTATCTACTGGGGCTTTGGGGAGAAAAAGGAGGAGGATTGGCAATAGATGTTAGCTCAGAGCCAGTCTTCCTCAGCAAAAAGAGGAGGATTAGCATGGATGTTTGCTCAGGGCTGATGTTCCTCACAAAAAAAAAAGAGGAAAGATGCTGGAGTTTGCTCCTCCTCAAGTGTCTTAGTGTGGGGTGGGTGACATCCTTTGTGCTGAGGGTCTGCAGTCCTCAGAGGCCGAGGCCACGGCCTGGTCGAGAAGGGCTCAGTGGGGCTTGCCCAGAGTTTGGTCGAGGGTCCACCCTGAGTTTTCAGGGGCCAGCAAACCTTCCTGTGAGGGCCAGATAGTGAATATTGTCTCTGCAGCCTCACGGTCTCTGTTGCAGCTTCCAGCTCTGCCACTGAGATATGACGGCAGCTGAGCTCCGTTGGCTTCACTTACAAACAGGGCAGTGCATGGGGTTTGTCCCACAGGCTGTGCTCTGATCTAAGTAACAACTCAGGATGTTTGAGAGTCTAATATAAATTTTAAATTGGCATCTGGGTGGAATTTCATGGAGAAAATTCTCAAGGTAGTATTTTACCCACTTTCTCTAATGATGATCTATTTGGTGATTAATTATTGTTACGACTCGGGGAAGGTGAGCAACAGGTGTATGTGCCTAATGATATATTTTCCACTTTATTGCTGCCATACCCTTTCCTTGAAATGGACTGGTTTTTTTCCAGGCTGAATAATTATAAGAAGTCTTGGCTGTATAAAGTGGGGTCCCTCCTCGTGATAGGGCACCTCATGGTGAATGCCACGTACTCAGCCACGGCTCTGTATGTGTCCCACTTCAACTATCCTGGTGGCATGGCGATGCAGAGGCTGCACGAGCTTGTGCCCCCCCGGACAGGTAGGTGCTTGGGCCGTGCAGGGGCCAGCTGCAGCCTTGGCCAGAGGTGCCCGGCTCATGGTTCTGACCAGGCAGACGTGGTTTTCCACAGATGTCGTTCTGCACATCGACGTGGCTGCTGCACAGACAGGCGTGTCTCGGTTTTTGGAAGTCAACAGCGCCTGGAGGTATATTCCTGTTATGATGTGATGGCAGGTGGCAGTGCTCCTCCCAGAGGCCGTGCGCGGGCTCCCTTTGGGCACCCAGGAGCCAAGGGCTAGCGCAGGGGCCACAGGTGCACGGCTGTGCTCTTCTCCTGCAGGTACGAGAAGAGGGAAGATCTGCAGCCCGGGTCAGAGCGCATGCTGGCCTACACGCACCTCCTCATGGAGGCGGCCCCTGGGCACCTGGCCCTCTACAGGGACACACACCGGGTCCTGGCCAGCATCGCAGGCACCACTGGGGTGAGTCTGAACCTGACCAGACTGCCTCCCTTTGACATCAACCTGCAGACAAAGCTGGTGCTTCTGGAGAGACTCCTCCCCTCCTGAGAAGGAACCACAGTCCCTCCAAGAACCTCGGAGCTCCTCCAACATTGTGACAACTGAGACAGTTCAGAGAAACAATCAAAGAACCACGGACATGCCCCTGGGAAGCAGGCCGGCCGGGCCCATCCACAGACACACCAGGGGCGGGCCCACGTCCATGCTGCACTCCGCTTTGAGAACGAGGGGCCCAGCACCACTGCCAAGGTGACTGGGCGACAAAATGGTTTATCACATGTACAGTGCACTGTTCACAACAGCAGGGAGGGTGGGCCTTGCCCCACGGAGCTGCTCTGGGTGGCACACCATGTTTGCTGCCTGTGGTCCTCAGGAGCACCTAAAGAAGACCCTTGGGGGAAGATCACGTCTTGGTAAACCTTGGCCTCTGCTGGACGACGTCCCCCACCCTCGTCCTGAGCTGCTGGACGCGTCCTCCTTTGTAGTACCAGGCAGGCCATTTCCACTTCAGATGAAATTTTAGGAGACAAACATGTTCAAAAAAGAATGGGAATAAAATTTTTTAATGTTTTCTTATTAGCAATCTTGTGTGATATTTCCAGAGACTGCCTTTATTTTTAAGTGATAATTTTGGCACTTGTACACTTTACTGAGCAAGCATTTATTAAGTACCGCTAGGCACTGAAGACGACGCAGAGAACTGGGTGTGGCTGCACACACGCACACATATCACGTGCACCCACACCACACACGCACACATATCACGTGCACCCACACCACACACACGCACACTTACCACGTGCACCCACCACGCATGTGCATACGTGCACATATACTACACGCACACATATGCACCCACACCATGCACACGTGCACCCAAACTGTGCACATATACTACATGCATGTACAATACCCCCACACACATGCACCCACACCATGCGCACATATGCACACTACACGGATGCACAATACCTGCACACGCATGTGCACATATATGTGCACCCACACCACACACGTGCACACATACCACATGCACCCACACCGTGCACACACACTACACACATGCACACATACCCCACACATGCATAAAGACAGGCTGTTTTTTCTGAGCCATTTGAGAGTGAGTTGCTGACAGCGTGGCCTTGGCCCGAGCACCTCAGTGTCCCAGGAGGGAGATGGCCTTTTGCAACTTGTAGTTCCTGTTTTTCCAGTGCAGCTGACAGGCACTCTACACGGACACCTTCAGACCAGGAGGGTGTCCCCCACCTCTCCGGACTCGGCACCCACTGACGATTCCTGCGAGGCCAGTCTCTGGTGGTGCCCCCATGCCTGCCAGTCGGCACTCGGCACTCCATGTGAGCAAGCTTGGGCCTTCCCCACTTATCTGTGTATCATCCACGTTTACTATTTATCTGTTGTTGGCATTTACCACTCTTCTGTAATTTGTCAGTATTCACATATTTGTCATTGATTACCGGCATGCCTGCGTGGACTGCTGCTGGACCTCCGTGGTCCGCGAGTCAACCCGTCTAATCACTATGGTGTTCAGATTGTACAGGATTCCCTGGGGAGCCTGTCAAGCCACTCTGTCCTCGTGACATGCCCTGTCATTGTTAATTTTTTTATCGCTTCCCTACTTCCTGGCACAAGGCGTCCCAGTCAGGCTCCTCTTGGGCCTCTCTGTCCCAGCCCTGGAATCAGCCGCATCTCTGAGGGGCCCTGGCTCCTTCTGGTGGGGAATGGGTTTAGAGCCCAAGATCTGAGTGCAAAATGTGTTCCTTGCTATTGATATGTCTGTGTTTTTAGGCCCTTTCTGTGGACGGAGCTGGTGAGGAAAGGCGTGTGTGCACACATACACACATGTACACTGGCATACAAACACATATGTGCACATGTATGAGAAATCACAGCGCCATACCGATACCTCCTATTCCAGCCCATCTCCGTGGGCTGTGTGCCTCCCTCATTCCCTCTCTGAATGTCCTGTCTTCCATGGTGAGAATCCTGACCGCTGCAACATCAGTGTATTTGCTCAAGACGTTAAATGGTTTCAGAATTGCTTTGCTGTTGACTGCAGAAAACAAACCCACTGAAAAGAGGTCGGAGCTTGTTTGCATTTTTTGCCCCCTCGCCCACGGCTGGGGGCTCACAATCAAACACTGTGTTGATAAATCCCTTGGATTAGCGCCCCTCTTCAGTGTGTTTGTTTTTTCATTTGAAATATAGTTGGGTTCACTTCTTTCCGTTTGCTTTCAGTCTCAGGATCCAACTTCCCGTCCTTTTTAGTTAGTAGGACATGACCATGCTTCTAGAAATCGGAACTGTTGGCTCAGGGAAGTCATTCCCTCCTGTACCCTTCCCCCGTTTTTGGTAACTAACGTCACTGTTTTCTGGTTTATCCTTCATGTCTTTTTTTTTGTAAAGATAAGCAAATACATGTTTACTTTACTTCCCCTTCTTTCTTACACAAAAGGTAGCATTCTGTATATGCTCTATTTTCCCCCGTTCTTTTCACCTCTGGAAATCACTCCCTCTATTCATAGAGGTTTCTCTTGTTTTTTGGAATCACATAGTACTTCATTATGTGGATGCACCATAATTTATTCAGTCTCCTCTGTGTGGACATTTAGGTTGTTGCCAATATTTTGCAACTTCCAATAATGCCACAACAAATAACCTTATGCATTTGTACTTTCATGTTGTTTGAGGTATCTTTAGGGTAAATTCCTAGCAGTGGGAATGCTGGGTCAAGGGTAAATGCATGTTAGTTTTGCTAGGTATTGCCAAACTCTCCTCCACAGGGGTCGTTCCATTCCCCGGGAATAGTCAGATTGGCGCATGTTAACCTTTAAAGGTTTGCCAATCTGATGGGTGAGCAATGGTGGTGTCTCAGTATAGTTTTAATCTTCATTTTGCTATGAGTGCAGATAGATGTCTTCATAGGTATAAGAGCCATCTGTTTTTGTGAACTGTCTGTTCATATCTTCTGTCCATTTTGAACTTTGGTCATTTTCCTCTCACTTTACAAAAATTCTTCAATTATTAGGGGTATTTTCCCTTTGTCTCCAATACATGTTGCGAAGAACTTCTCCCTGTCTGTCACTGGGCTTTTGATTCTTCTTATGAAGTGCTCTTCCTGTGCAGAAGCTTCCTCCAATTCATGTCTTCATGTTTTTCAGTCTTCTTTACCTGCAACATAGTTGGGAAGCTTTTCCCACACTCAGGACTTCAGCCGTGTTTTCTCCCAGTACTTGTGTTATTTCATTTTGCATGTAGACCATTGATCTATTTGGAGTTTACTTGTGTGTAAAGGGTGGGCCTAATTTTGTCTTTTTCCAAATGTCTGTCTGCTTACTAAAGGTCCTTCTTTGCCTTGGAGATCTGAAGTCACAAACTGGACTTCTGCATTTCAAGTTTTGGCAGTTATGAATACAGTTGCTATAAACATCCGTAGGCAGCTTTTTGTGTGACACATTTCCAGCTCCTCTGGATGAATACCAAGGAGAGGAATGGCTAGATCATGTGGTAAGAGTACGTTCAGCTTTGTAAGAAACTGCCCAATTGTCTGCCACAGTGGCTGCTTTCGCGCTCCCCCCAGGAGCGACTGAGGGCTCCTGCTGCTCCACGTCCTTGCCAGCATTTGGTGTGGTCCGTCTTCCAGATTTTGTCCATTATACTAGGTGTGTAGTGGCATCTTGGTTTAATTTTGATCCATCTCTCACTTTTAATTGAGTATTTTATATGATTCCATTTTCTCTTCTTTTTAGCGTATCAGTTACACTTCTTTTTGAGGTGGTTGTCCTAGAGTTTGCAACATATATTTACAGGTAACCCAAGTCCATTTTCAAATAACACCATACCACTTCATGGGTAATGTGAGCACCTTATAATAACAAAATAATCCTAATCCCTCTCTCCCATCCCTTGTATCGTTGCTGGCATTCATTTCACTTATATATAAGCTTACAGAAGCATAAATATATATATATATATACACACACACACACACACACACACACGTCATATACACATAGGCATACATAATTGGATACATTGTTAGTGTTATTATTTTGAACAAGCTATTATCTGATCAATTAAGAATCAAAAAATTAACATTTCTTCTTCAGTGCTCTTCCTTATTTTATGTAGATATGAGTTTCTGACCTATATTGTTTTCCTTCTCTCTAAAGAACTTCCTTTAACATTTTTTGCAAGGCAAAAACTGGCCACAAATTCTCTCAATTTTTGTCTAAGAAAGTCTTTATTTCTCCTTCATTTTTAAGAATAATTCCACAGGGTGAAATTATAGAATTCATAGAATTCTAGGTTGGTGGGTTTTCTCTCTCAACACTTTAAATCTCTCACTCTACTTTCCTCTTGCTCGCATGATTTCTGAGAAGTCAGATGTAATTCTTATCTTTGTTCCTTTATAGGTAAGGTGGTTCCCCCCCACCTCTGGCTTCAGGATTTAAAATTTACTTTTGATTTTCTGTAGTTTGAAAAGGATATGTAAAGGTGTAGGCTTCTTTTGGAATTTACCCTGCTTCGTGTTCACGTTTCCTGGATCTGTGGATTGGTGCCTGACATTAAGTTGGTGAAATTCTCAGTCATTATTTCAAATATTTCCTCTCTTTCTTTCTTTCTTTCACTGGAGTAGTCCCATTTTGTGTATATTACACCTTTGGAAGTTGTCCCACAGTCCCTGGATATTCTGTTCTGTTTGTTTCAGTCTTTGTTCTCTTTGCTTTTCAGTTTTCAGGGATTCTAGTGAGATATCCTCTAGCTCAGAGATTCTTTCCTCAGCTGTGTCTAGTCTATTAATAAGACCATCAAAGGCATTCTTCATTTCTGTTACAGTGTTTCTATCTCTAGCATTTCTTTTTGGTCCTTTCTTAGGATTTCCATCTCTCTGCTCACAGTGCCCATCTGTTCTTTTATGTGGTCTACTTCATCCACTAGAGCACTTAGCATGCTGATCATAGTTGTTTTAAATTCCTGGTCTGATAATTCCAACACCCCTGCCATGTCTGGTTCTGATGCTTGCTCTGTCTCTTCAAATTCTGGTTT